TAACTAAAGCCAAAATCTTCATATATAAAGATAAACAATAAAATGAATGTATCCGGTGGCCGAAAAATTGCTAAGACAGTAGTGCCATAGCTATCTCGGACTGAAGGATTGCGGGTTCAAGTCTCGCCTCGGGCATGGTTGTACTGTGTTCATCCATTCACCTCCTATCATCATCATTCTCACAGTTACCATACTGTTACAAGCAATAGTGGTCACTAATGACCTAGAAGTTGATGCGACTTTAAATAACAGAAAAATAAAGTAAAATGAAATAAGGAGTACTTAATATCACTCATGATAATAATGAACCACCAATCACACATATAAATATTAATATTAATATAGGACAAATAAATCTATAACTCATCACCTAAACAATGTAATCTCCTTAAATTAAATTCACCTTCCATTACATAATAAATCAACCGGAAAGTATAACAAACTGTTAATCCAGTGAAAAGAAAATACAATACACAAATCAATGAATTAAAATTTCTTAGACAACTCAATACCAAAATTAAATCCTTTGAATAAAATCCAGATAAAAGAGGCATACCACGTAAGGCCAAATTTGAAATTAAAAATCATACAGAAGTTAAGAGGTATCTGAATAAACAATTCCACCCAATCCACAAATATATTGAAGATCATTCAAACCATGGATAATAATACCCGCAAATATAATGCCTTAAATAACGTTTGAATTAATAAATGAAAAAAGCTAAATCATAATAATGCCATCCAATAGTTCTTATTATAAAACCCAGCTAACTCAACTTTGATAAAGCAGTAATCTTTTTCAAACAAACTTGAAATTAGCACCTAAACCAGACATAAATATAAACAACCAATAAATCATACAAAATCACTTATTGAATATATCTCAATAACTAAACCAAAACTAAATACACCCCTGCTATAACCAAAGTTGATGAATGAACCAAAGCAGATACAGGTGTAAAAGCAGCCAGAGTTGCCGGAAGTCAAGAAGAAAAAGGAATTTGAGCTCATTTAGTCATAGCAGCCAAAGAAACCAAAAAATTTGAAAAACTGTATTTCAACATCCAAGCCTGCCAAGTTATTAACATACAAATAATTTCATCTACCATATCTTATTATTCAAGTAATTTTCAACACAGCCACATCACCAATACCATTTGATAAAGCTGTAATATTACCAGCATTATAAGATTTTACATTTTGATAATAAATTACTAAACAATAAAATATTAATCCCAAACCATCCCATCCCAATAAAATTCTAATTAAATTAGGAATAATAATTAAAACATGGATAATACAAAAATTAATATCAAGATAATAAAACAAGATAAATTATAATCACCTATTATATAACTATCTCTATAATAAATTACTAAAGAAAAAATATACATAACAAATCTCATAAATAATAATGATTTATAGTCCAAATAAATTCTCATAACAATATTACAAGAATTAATAGATGCAATATTCCAATCCAAAAAATTACATACTCATTAATACAAACAACTAATCCCCCCCAAAAAAACATTACTGATTAAAAATAAAATAACAAAAGATAATTTACAAACAAAATTATTATAATTAATAGCCCAATATATCATCTATTATATACCTTTGATTCCACAAAGCAACATTCTCGTTAAACTAATAAAGCTAAACACAACGAAAAAAAATAATCCCCTTGTAAAACTAAAATATTTAAGGGAAATCAATGTAAAAATAATAATAAATATTCACGAGAATATCCATTAATCTAACTGAATGAACCAGAAACACACATTCCATGTGGACAACCACAAAAACCTCAAGAATTTAAAGGCATTAAACTACCCAAAACCATACCAATGTTAACAACAGATAAATAAGCAATTAATGATTTCAAATCAACTTGATGTTGACATACTAAAAACTTTAAAAAAACCTTTCAAGTTAATACCAATCTGAACAAAATGATACTTTAAACAATAAAATACCATAACTCTAAAAATATGCATCAATCCATAACCACCCAGTTTTAGTAATTCACTTGCTAACACCATAGAACCAGAAATAGAAGCTTCAATATGAGCCTTAGGTATTCATAAATGAATTACAAAAAATTTAGGTTTTTTTAACCAAAAATATAGCAATTATACTCAAATAAATATAAAATTTATTAATTTCGTCACCTCAAAATGCGTACAAGCATAAAGTACCATTTGCTTCATAAAAACTTAATAACCTAATTAATAAAGGTAAAGAAGCCAATAACGTATAAAATAATAAATAAAAACCAGCTTCAACACTATCAGGCTGATAACCCCATCCTAAAATTAAAAATAACGTAGGATTTAATCTACCCTAAAAAAATATAAAAAAATAATATATCATTTCTCGAAACGCACATATCAATAAAAAAATTCATAAAAATAAATATATTCCTATAATAATTATACTGATAAACTGAAATTTTTGCCATAATCATCAAACCACAAATCCAAATTCTTAATAAAATTAAACCGTAAGATAACAAATCATATCCTAATATACAACCTAAACCTTCAACATTTCCACTCAAATTAATACATAACATATATAAAAAAGCTATCAAAAAAATATAAACTGAACCATTCACCAAAATACTCCGTTTAAAAAAGAAAGAGAAATTATAAATATAAACATAACAATAAATTTTATCATTGCAACACCATAAAAGATTTAAATAATCATTTCCATGAGAACGTACCATTTCCATAGAAATTAAAATTCCTAATTCCAAAGAACCTTCACAAACTGCAAACACCAAATAAATGATGGGGGAAAAAAATCATACTGAATTCTATCTAATCAATATACTAATAAAAAACAAGTCAATAAGGCCATATACTCCAAACTCAATAAAATAATTAATATATTTTTTAGTTTAGAACAATATATCCAGATATCTCTAAAATATCAAAATATCATTATTACTAGACAAAAAATGCAAACATTAAGTTAAAAGTGTAAACAATAGAAAATAATAACTTAAATCAACTTTACAAGTATTCAAATTTTCTTCTAACAATTATTCCAATTATTGATCTCCTAATCACATTATTATTGTAAAAATTACTTCCCTTCAAGAAGGACCCTTATGACATTCAAATTAATAAACTAATGAACAAACTCTTACGAACAAATCACCTATTATTTAAAAATATTAATAATTCACTAATTGATTTACCAACCCCATCTAACATTTCAACATGAAACTTTGGATCTCTATTAGGATTATGTTTAATTATCAAAATTATTTCAGGAATTTTCTTAATTACATTACACCACTGATATTAACATATCCTTTAATAGAATCAGACACATTTGTCGAGATGTAAATTTTGGTTGATTACTATGAACAATACATGCTAATGGAGCATCATTCTTTTTCTTTTTGCCTTTATATTCATGGATCTTACAATTTAATATATACTTGAATAGTAGGAAGCCTTATTGTATTTTTAGTAATAGCCACTGCTTTTATAAAGTTATGTATTACAATGGGGACAAATATCATTCTGAGAAGCTGCTGTTATTACTAATCTTCTATCAGCAATTCTATATCTAGGACTGATTTGGACTAGTTTAATGAGTTTGAGGTGGTTTTGCAGTTGATAATGTTGATTAAGGCCACTTGCATACTTTATTAATCCTGTAATTAATTTAATTAATTATTTGAATTATTACTGTATGTCATGGAATTGAATGTAATTCCTGCATAACTTAAATTAATCTTATTGTTTGTATTAATCTATTTTATATATATTTTCGCACATAAATTATCAATATAATCTAAACTTATTAAATTATTTCTGTAAGTGAATGATATTAAAAAATGTCACTGTAATTTTAAATAATTTCTAGACACACTTTGCTTGATACTTTCTGTAAGTATATAAGCAATAAAATATTATTATTAGTTCTATTATTATCTATTTTCTTATATGCCAAATCATTGTAAATATTGATGTCAGTTATAATTTGTTTTTTTAATTAAATAACTCAGACAATTTAGGACACTCAATGTATCAAGAAAGGTAATATAGTTATCATCTTGTTCTTTAATGTATTTGAGTGCAACAAGTTCTTTAGTGTATTTGAGCATAAGCTTAAGTATAAGTAGAAAAAGAAGCATAAACTATGTAATGTTTAACGAAATGTGAAGAATGTTTTCATTAATTTTGACTGCGATATGATGTATAAATTTGTATGTAGTCTTTGTATTGATTTTGGAGTTCATTAAATTGGGATTGATATACAATATCATTAGTGTCTTCTTTAATAAGAGAGTTGAGAGTTGTATTTAGTAATGGTTCAGTAATGGACTAAGCCATGGAGGGTGGAGTATTTAACGAGTAGGATGCTTTTTAAAAAAAGGAATATGAAGTTCCACCCAGTTTTAGTAATACACTTGCTAACACCATAGAACCAGAAATAGGAGCTTCAATATGAGCCTTAGGTAATCATAAATGAACTACAAAAAATATACATTTTTTTTAACCAATATGAAGTTCTTGAAGTGTATCCAAGATATACAATAGTGGTTTAGGAAAATTCCTCTTTTTCCTATATTTGTTAAAAAAATCATTAGTAAATATATTGTTGTAGGTTGGGTTAGATGAAATTTTACTTTTATACATAAAAAGAAATTTTATTTAAAATTCCAGTATCCTGTAGTATCTATGCAATGTAGACTTGGTTAGTTCGAAAAGCATTGAATACTTATCTACGACCAGAGGAATGTGTAGAGTTTAATGTTTTTAGTATAGATGAAGTAGCTGACTGGTATATAATAGATCCATTGTCTAATTTTGATTGTATTAATGCATTGTATGTGAGAAGAGCTTTTTTTTTTTTGGTGCCCCAGGAAGAAGATGAATGAGATTTGATGATTTTCATTTGCTTTAGACATTCTATTTGTAAGTTAGTGGTATGGCATTTCCAGGTTAATTTGTCAAAAAGCACTACTAAAATTGTTATTTCATTACAACAATGAAGACGAGATTTTATAGTGTGATAGAGTAGTTCGTTTAAGTGTTTCTTTTTATTGAAGAGAGTGTATTGAGATTTTGAATGGAATATAATGAATCCTGTTTTGTAAGTTCAATCAAGTTCGTTGAGGATTGATTGTGCGTGTTGTCGAGTGGTGTGAATGTTTTTGCCAGTGATTCCTGTAGTAGCGTCATCTGCAAATAAATATACTTTTAGGGGCCGAGGGACATGCAAAGATATGTCATTGATTGTGATGAAATCTTTAATTTGTTGATAACACACCCTTGAGGGCCGTTGTTTTGGATGTACTAATTGTTGGATAATGTATTATGAAATTGAACACATAGATCTATTCCTTAAGAAATTTGCTATAAATATCAAGATATTACCAGTTATTCCCAATTCAAGTAATATGTTAATAACTCTATCTGTCGAAACAATGTTATAAGCTTTTTCCATATCAAGGCTAATAAGAGATGATGTTCATGATAAATACATGCATTACAGATGTCACTATAAATATTACTTAGCTGATATATAGAGTGATGATCTTAAAATCCACTTTAAAGAGAGACTTTTTTTTGTTTATATCCAAAAACCCTGAAACACTTTTAGATATATTGTTCTCCAGTAGTTTGCATAAAGAATCAAGTAAGTGAAACAGGTCAATAACTGTCAGGAAGGTTAGGATTCCTACTTCTTTAAAGTATAGGAATTATAATTGATTCTCTCCAAGAGATTGGAAAAGAGCAAGAAGAGAGATCATTAAATAAAGAGGTGATGGATTTCTTTTGGAGGAAGTTCTTGTAAAAATATAGATACTATTTGGTCCAGGATTCATAGGCTTAATTCTGAATAACTAACAATTGATTTTTTTAAAGTTCTTTATCAGAATTGTTATCATATGAGTTATTTGCAAAGGTCAAAACAAAGATATTTGATGTATGTTCATTAGTAGTGACTAAAATTGTTTGTCAAGCGTAAAATTGTGGATTGTTATAGAGTGTAAATTCAAGAAGATATTTAAGTCAATATGAACCATTGATGCATTTCATTTATTCCAAACTTTTGGAGGTGTGGATGGCAATGTTTTTAAAGAAATGAAAATTATAGGTTCTTCTCGCTTTGGACTGAAGTTTGTATTCAATAATACAAGCATAATGAGATGTCTCTTGATTGAAAAAACATGTCTGTAAAGTTAATGAGCTATTTGACAGTTGTTGTTGGAAGAAAGTCTATCATTATCCATACTTTGATCTATTAACTCAGAGACAAACTCTTTACTATTCTTAAAATTTACTAATGAGAAGTTCCATTTAGGGTTGTATTGGTGCAACTGTATAGTGATGAGTTTTTAGTGCTACTGAGTAAAATTGGGAAACGATCACTTCCAAAGGGAATATCTTCAGTAGACCAGTCTCAAGTGGATGCTTAATGCAATCTGAGATATATGGTTATGCTTTATTATTATGAGTTAAAATAACCCAAATTTCTTTGTTTCAATAAAAGTTAGTAATAAATCACTACTCTGGATTGTAATAAAACATTGTAATGTGACGAAACACAAATAAGAACAAATTTGAAGCAAAGTGGACTGTAGAGAAGGTAAATTAGAGATTTTTTAAATTAAATCCTGTGATTTGAATTGTCAGTGTAAAGGTCTCTGATTACAGATTCAATGGCTTAATACTACTTTCTGTAATTATTGTAGCAGTCTATGTTATTAAAACGATTGGCTTGCATGGAAAGAAGGTGAACAACGCCCTTAAGTGTGAATAGTACTTGAGAAAGTAAGCCATTATTTTCACATTTTCTGATATGATAGTGAACCAACTGTGTATGCGAGTTCATTTTTACTTTCCCGTGTACGCACGTATATACGGAATAATATACGTAGTGTAGTGAAAGTGTAGTGTAATGCTGCGGAAAATCGATATCGAAATTTTAAAGGAAATACATTTTGGGGTCTCCAGATATCGAAAAAGTGTGGTTTTTTGTTTTGTTTTAATGACAACGTCCGTCTGTCCGTCCACCTGGTGTCTGTGAACACTACTAGCGCCTGACCCATGCGTAGGATGTTTTTCCAAATTGAAGAAACCCGTGTCGATCTGCGTCGGGTCGAACCTTTGAGATTTTGAAAAAAAAAAATCTTTAAAATTTTGGGGTACTTTACATGAAGCTCTACTGGTATTTTCAAAGGTTCTAAAAAACTGCTCAAAATTTTTCTTTAAATTTCTTGAAATAATTAAGTAAAATACACTTATAAAGGTGGCATAGGCCCGATTTTCAGGTTTAACTCTAAATTTTCTAAAATTTCAAAAATGTTCGAGTTTTCTTACAACCACAAAATTGGAGATAGATTTTTCCTTCAAATAAAATTTGTTGTCCGTAGCGAGTTCTTTCATTAAGGCCATATACTTTTTTTTTATTTTAGTATTTTTCCCGCAATATTGTGAACAAAATGTGCTATTTAAAAAAGTTACAAAAACAAGATTTTCTCAAATACGGCTTCAATTTTTTTCTTTAAAATTTTGTTAGGGATAGTACTAAATGTATTCTATAAGAGGACATAAACGCGATAGTGCTCTATTTTTGTTTTTTTTCTTTCTTCAATAATTACGAGAATATATTTTATATTTTTTTGTCTTCTCTCACGTCGATGATATTTACACTAGCGGCGATTTGTTCACATTATTATATGTATGAGAACACGTGTTTTAAATAATGTCAAATGTTTGTCGAAAACTGAACCGCTTTCTGTAAAAACTTTCACAAAATTCTGCAGTTTCAGAAACGCTCAAACGGGGAATTCTCAAAAACTGCTCCAAATTATTTCTTCAAACTTTTCGAAGAAACAGTGCTAATTGCACTCTGTAATATGATGTAAAGATAATTTTAGGGTATTTTTATTACACTATATTTTTTTAAAAATATCTTTAACAGCTTTAATATGCACATTCCAACTATTTGTATGCATTTTTGTATTTGTAGTTGGAAGTGTTTGATTTTAGTGAAATGACTTTATATGAAGTTTTTCAAAAACTAAATAATTTTCTGTGAAAAAATGCATCAAATTTCGCATGTACATTAGCGCTTAACGCCATTTTAAGAAAGAGCTCAAATTTTCAAAGAAAATTACCATTTAGAACGGGATTTTACTGTTCTTTAATATTTTTAAAACAATATGTTCGTTCTACTATTAGGAAGCCGAAAAATTAAGAAAATTACCCCCACACCACAAATGTTCTGTGGGCGGTAATAGATGGCAGCTGGCAAGATTGTAGCAACTCCTTATAGCTAGCAGAGACCAAAGGAAATAGAAAACTAATACGCTAAAGTCTGTGCCATTCCGGAGCACCACTAGTTTACTTTCCCGAATACGTACGTATATACGGAATAAAATAGTAGTACGTGGAGAGTTTTGTAATGCTGCGGAAAATCCATTTCGAGTTTTCTTTGGAAATACACGTTTTGTGGTCCCCTGATACTGATAACTGGTGTCAATAACCTCCACTATTACTTAAGACCTTAGTTGAGTCCATGCCACGTTGTGTTGCGGCACTTCTGCATGCTTGTGGAGGCCCTACACAGTATTAGGCAGGTGTACCAGATTTTTGGTTCTTGAATGTATATCTACACAAAATAGTCTTCATGAATTTGTAACATTCTTGATTCCTTGATTTGCAAGTTTTTACATCGGCTTAATTTTTATTCTGTCAAAGAACATTTTGCCTAACCGATTAATCTATCAGCATCTAGCATATCGGCTTCCTTGATGTGTATTGCTTCTTTGATAGCGATAAAATGTATTAGCAGAAGTGGTCTAAAAGCGGTATTGCTTTTGTAGCATTGACAATGGCTATTGATAGTTGACTAAACTGATAAAAGTTCAATGAACTCGCGAACTCTTTATTGCGTATACGTGCAATATTATTGTTACTATTCAATAAAAATGAGTTTGAAATATTTAACTCTAATACATAAAAAGAAGAGTAACTACCCAGTGTTTATCAAACATTTAAAAACAAAAACACAAATATAATTTCTCATGGAATTACATGATAATTTTTCCAATCACTAACAATATGTTGATATAAAGCCCCCTCCCCTCTCCTTACACCATTCTAAACACTTTTACCGCATCATGGTAGAACAGAAAATAACCATGAATCTTGAGACACTTGCGTACCTCCAACATACAATGGAGATAATGCTCAAGTTATAAATAATAAGTCATTGAAAACATTTTAAACTCTGAAGCCAGAGATCTCCTACTTAATTCAATATGTTTGTAAAAAATAGATATTTCATTTGATTTATATAAAGTATTTTTTTTAAGTATGAGTACTTTTCATGATTTTTAAAGTTATAATGTTTGACTTCTTTTGAGGGGCAAAGTGTTCAGAAATGAAAAAGCTTTTTATTGAAAATAAGATGTTAACGAGAAACCCATTTATTGAAA